CCCTCGAAAAAATGGCATGCCATTATCCAGTTAAACACATTTCAAGACACTTTGCTTTATTTTACACAATGTATTACCATTGATGCATTGTCCCAGGTCACAATTTGTAGGTCAGTAGGTGGTTTATCCGCAAGAATATCGAAACTAACAGTTTTACCAATCCGAGTATATGGACAGACGAATCTTATTTTTCTAACTGCGGACTGTTCAAATCGACATAATGAACACTATACTCGTCACAGGAAAACCTACACGTAATTTCACGCCGAAATCAAGTAATATTTTTTTTAATTAATGTAATTGGACCGGTAATCTTCGTTGGATCTGTAACTGCTCACCATTATTTACAAATTCTCCAATTCCTTCCTTAAAGGATTTTTCTTGACAGCGTATGTTTCAAAGAAAGGGTTGGTTTATGCAGGGCCGGACTGGCCCAGGCCGCTAGAGTCACTTTTATATAAAACTTTTTTTTATATCTCTTATACTTTCGATGATATAAGACATTCAAGGAAATGACCAATTTTAGTTTTTTGGAATTTACGTCGAACCTATGCGACATTTTGAATTTCCATAAGAAAATTTTAAATAAGCATCCAAAACTGCAAAACATTGCCCATTTATCCAATTCTCTATCTTTAATAATAACAAAGACACTGTATATCTGCGATCCTAAAAGCCGAGTTCATTCCAATTGAGCTGGCTGAATTATTTGTTTTTGGTCCTCATGTCACCTTGGTTCCCAATGGAATTTTGGGTCCAATCAGTTGATGTCAGTTTTAAGTAGTGTAATGAAGCATCCATTTTTCTACCAACTTTGATGACCACTCAGTAACCTGGACCTTTGTAGTTTTTTTTACTGCGAAGAAGGTAAAAGTAATTGCTTTGATTTCTAGCGTCATGTTTTAGCCGCCAATAAGTAATCCAGATGGTATAACTAATTTGCCGTTTGTAACCGTTCCCGTGGGGATCTTTTTATTAATCTTGCAACCTCTGAAAGCTCTCGTCTCCTTGGAAAACGAGAGAAAATGAATATTGTATGATTTCCCAATGCGAAAACGAGGATACAAGGTTGTGCAGTTTATTTCATTAGACCTTTGGTGATTGATCCGAAATTTGATCTAAGAATGGGACCAAATTTTGACATTTTAATCCGGCCAATTAAGTGACTATAAATACTGGTAGCTAATCGGATGTGTTGCAGAAAACCTCCTCTGATTAGATTTCCTGGTGTCAAATGAAGCGCGCTTAATTAACATGAATTTCAAGATTAGTCCCCGATTTTTAGGACGTCAGGGAATCTGGTAATTAATTAAAGAAGTCCACCAGTGTACAACGGCCGACTGAAAATTCTGATGTTTTCTTTCCGTATTTTGGGAATTCTATATAATTGCCTTTTTCAAAAATAAGATTTAATTAAGTAACCAGAATCTTAATACTACTACATGAGTCTGTCCACTTTATTTTTAGACCCTAAAAAAAGATGGACAAGTGCACAAAGGAAAATGCCATTCTTTTGTAACTTTTATAAAAAATTATATAACAAATGACCAAAATCAACATAATGGGTGGAATCAAAAATGGCTCTATTCGAACCAAATACACAAAATGTAAAAATAAAGTGTGCATTTATAAAAAATGTGATAAATACCTGCAGCAACTGTCAAAACATCTTTGCACAAACCCAGCCACTGAGAGAGGTTATCTGCGGCTAGCATTTGCAGCATACTAATCAGCGTATCGTGAATATCTTTGATCAGGCTGCTATCGGTTTCCGTATCGAGCATAGTGAATAAAACTCCCGGCAGTCCGGTTTCAGTAATTAACAATCCCTCGACCGTATTAGCATCTCGACTTTCGTTTGCGAGAGTCATAGCGTGCTCGCAAACTTCCTTTGCTTCCCTTTGCGCCAACTGTCTCAAACACGACGTGGCTGCTTTCCGTAGCAAAAGATGATTACTAGATAAAGTACGCTGCAAGAATATAAATTAATATGATTATTGATTGTATAGTCAAGACATACACATAGTGTGGGTACTAGAGAAGATAAATTCACATGTCGCGGCGCAAATAAGTGAAGTTGTTGTAAACACCCTGTTGCTTCGGCTTGGACCAGTGGATCTTGATGATCTTGCATAATTGCGCACGCGCAGAGGAATGATGACCTTGCCATACAAATTGACACAGTATTGCCCTGCAATTCTGGTCCGATGGTTGTTATTAAACCAGAAAGTACTTTTCCAATGCACTGATGTATATCGATATGTGATTGAGGAACATTTAACAATAATTTTAACGCTAATGATAATGTAGGTTCTACATAACCTCTGAACATGGGACCGCCGGAATCTGATATTAATGCCAGTGCATGTAAAGCCCAAACTTGGACAACCGGGGACGTAGTATCCTGTGCCAATGCCAGAAGGATAGAAACGCTCGTGTTAAGATGTTGGCTGGAACCTAACCCACCCACGTATCGGTGCAAACATCCTAGCGCCAGCGAATGGCCTGTTCTACTTGCAACATCTCGAGCCGATTTCAATTTATCAAAACTGGTTTGAGCCAGTTCGGCGGTAAATCGAGAATCGGATATCACTTGCGCCATTCTACCTACAGCTTCGCCTGCTGCGCAACGTAAAATTGGATTTGCAGAAGTTAGCGCCCCTAAGATCAAGGTAGTTGCTGCCTTCTTTACATCTTCTTGACCAAAACTAGTTTTTGCCTCACTTAATCCTTTTAGACCACTCAGCAAAGCAGTAAATACGTTCATTTGTACAGCTTCCTGCCGAGAGCTCTTCGCATGCTTTATACACTCGATAAAATGCTCTAACATTTGCAATCGGTGTTTGTTGGCAACACATGGAAAAATTTGTCCAAAAAGTGCCACCGACATATCTATTACTGCTACACCCAGAGGAAGTGGACCAGGAGTGATCTCATGCTGTGTGTAACGTATAAATAATTTTTCAAATCGATGGAATCACTTACATTCAATAACGGGCGATACAGACAACAAGGGTCATGTTCCAAAGCACCCGATCCTGCCGCACTGTTCGGTTGCAACTGTAACAGAATTAGATACAGTTAGCGATTGAAGAGCTTTTTACACTACTATTATAATAGATAGTACTCACATGTTCACCATCTGTCCTTCGATTTGGTTCCATCTAAGCGTAACAAATTGTTATGTAATTGCCGCTGTATTAGTAAATATACAACTAGTTACAAAATCTAGGTCTAGGTTGCTCAAAGTTACTATGGCAATGTGAATTATATTGAACGTTTGCTGTTTTAATAAATTATTTTATTCGAATTTGGATTTAGTCCACCATAGGGAAATTTACACATATACCGCTTCATAGTGAACGAGAACGAAAGTGTGTTTGGAGATAAGGGTGATAAAGATGCGCATGCTGTGTTGTGTAGATGTTCTAATAACCACTGCGACGGAGAAGTAGGGGGGCTTCAGAACGTATTTAGGCTAACGTCAGCTTGGTCTACTCTGCCGGCCAGGCAATTAAGTTATATCGATACTAAACTCCCAGCTCCCAGTTTTTCTAATTAAGAAAAACATTTAAAAAAATCAAACGCAGTGGACCCACTGTGAAGTGGTTGCCTTGTGAAAAATAGTAATTATCAATCAACATAGAAAACAGAAAAACCTGCTGAAAAAGTCCTCGCCATTCCATATTTAACATAAATATCATTTCACATCAATGACGAACACAAAGATAGTTAGTACTTACTTGATCCTCAATTGTGCGATGATCCGTCTCTTGTAGCCAAGTGCCCAATATAACCGAATCATCAGCATGACAGACGGTTCTGAGCTGTGAAGTGGTTGTATTTGCAGGATTTTCAGTTAAGGTAAATTCCGCAACTAACATCCGTAATAGATGGGTGTAAGAACCTGGAATAGACAGTGCTAAAAGGGATTCCCTGCAACGCACTTTACCTTCAAATGATTGTGAAGGAAGTAGTAAGAGAGTTTCGTATAATCGCAATCGAACCATCGCAGCAGGGGCTTTAAGTTGTTGACCGTAACTTTTAAGAACATTGGCGATGCTGAAACGAACACAATCACAAGATGTAAATAAATATTGAATATTTACTTTGCCAACATTGCCAAAGCAGACTCTATGGGAGTTAGTAGTCTGCGAATAATATCTTCGGTAACCAATTCAGGGCAATTTTGTACAAAACTATGCATTGCTGATAAAGCCCCAGCCCGTCCCTCCAAGGTAACTTGCCATGTAAACGCATCACCTCTCGCCTTTTCCGATTCTAACTCCTTGGCAGACCGCGGGAACGAATTTCTCCACAAAAGTAACATTCTCGGTAGTAATCCTCTCACCACAGGCACTCCTGCGATTTGGTCAAATAAATAACTAAACACGATAAAGAAGTTAAGCAACCTAAAGTCATAATGGCGCCAATTAGTAGCCATCCAGCTTGAGTTCGATTAATCGACAATCTACTATTTTGACTCGCGCTCCTCAGTAATTCTTCTGCGGTATTGAATATCACTTTTCCTTTAGTGTGTGGTACGCCTAATGGAGACAGATGAACCCCTCCTAGTACAGCGGCCAAGGCGCAACTGTAACCTACAACAAATAGTACAGTGACAATTATTGAAGTGATTACTTCTTATCACTCGGTATGCACCATATGTTTTGCACGAGAGTAAAATCACCTCATAAATAATTATTTAGATACGCTATTGATTTAAAGTATCTGAATTGGGGTGCTTGTCTCTTGACCCCTTCTATTTAAAACAATGTTTCCCCAAAGCCCTTTAAGGTTTGGATTTAGAGAATATAGGCAACTGGTGATGCACATGTAATTCAATGGGGCGTGCATTGCCTCTGAACTTCATTCACCATTTCATAAGCAAGGGGTGTATATGATCGGAAAAATATGTATTAGGTAGATAGATGTACAGAGCATAGTTTCCATACAATATAAACTGATATTTTGTCCATTAATATATGTTTAAAAAATCTAGAAAACATGCGTCAAAAGAGTTCATACTTTAGGAATTAATTGCAAAAATTAGGGAGCATTTTAAGCAATACGAGTGTATGGGATCGGTAGCGTGAATACTTATCTATCTATCAAAAGTTTTCATAATAAAAGTGGTGAATGAAGTTCTGAAAAATGGGCATGTAAACTGGAGAAATGGAAATAAACTACGCAGCTGTGACTAATATCGCGGTCAACAGTGTAGCTTCTTTCTCACAGAGGGTGCCACCAAGAGTTTTATGAAGTCAGTAAAAAATACGATAAAGACATATGAAATAAGCGCTTTTATCTTGCGATGGAGTTGTTCTTACTTTTTAACTAGGGTAGTACTGTGTAATAGGGATAATAAAAGACAAACATTTACGAGCAAAAAAAACTAGCAGGCTATGTAAGTTGCCTATGTTAAATCATTTAGCGATTCTCTTTCAAGGTTGAACAGAGCGTGTAATACTAATAGTAGAATTTGCTGACAGCAAAAAAAAGATCGTTCACTGGTATATTTTTATTTTGTCAACTCCTTGCTTCGATATTTATTTGGTTTCCCTTTCCTATTCATTGCAAACGGTGTACCCTCTACCTATCGTTGTATATGAAATAAATAATAGAAATGGGGATAGGTAACATTCCTTTACAACAAATATCAAAATTTTTTTTTAGAACAAAGGGTTGTTGTATATTGTTGTTGATGTCTGGCAAGCGGCGACCTTCTGTGGGTGTTTATTTGTAATACGATTTGTTTGACCGTCTCCCTTATTCTTTATCTTTGCTTATTGCAGATTAAATACCGTAAATTTATAATCCATACCTTGTTGCAAATTAAATTTTTTGAACTGCAATAGTGTCATTGAATAAAGCTCTTTATTCAATGATAGTACCTATTATATATTAGTATTAGTTTAGTGTAATGTGTAATAATTGACCTATACAGGGTGATTCAAATTCGAGGGCCACCATGGGGATCTCGGGAACTGTAAGAGATAGGTAGGTAGTTTACATTTGACAAAGTTGCGTATTTTTTATGCTTAACAAAATCCAGTTTTGGAACTGAAAAAATTCCGACTACTTTCGGAGAAAAACGAAATTTTGCAAAATCGTTTTTATTTTTTACTGAAGTTATTAAAAAATATATTTCAAAATAAATGACACATTATTATGACTTTTTTCCCTCTACAAGATGCTACTTTTAAATTTTAAGTTTGACGTTTCGTCTCCAGTCAACCATCTTTGTTTTTTCTTATGGAAGCAATTTTGAATTTTTGTGTCATTTAATAAAGAATTTTGTTCTGATTTCAAAAATATAAAACATGATCTATTTCTAATAAGAAATAACGCTATTAATTCGTAAAAACGCAAGAAACTACTTACGTACGTTACTTAAGACAAAGTTTTCTAGGCAAAAAAGATATTTTACAAACATTAAAAAAATTGATATGTACATTTTTGAAATCAGAAAAAAATTCTCTATCAAATGACACAAAAAAGTAAAAATTACTTCCATAAGAAAAAACAAAGTTGATGATAGTTAACCGGAGACGAAATGTCGGATTTAAAATTTTAAACTAGCATCTTGTAGAGAGAAAAAACTGGCCATAATAATGTGTCATTTATTATTAAATATCTTTGTAAACAACTTCAGTAAAAACAAAAACGATTTTCAAAATTTCGTTTTTTTCCGGATATCTCCGAAAGTAGTCAAAATTTTCAGTTTCAAAACTGCATTTTGTTAAGCATCAAAATACACAAGTTTGCCAAATTTAAACTATCTACCTATCCTTATCTCTTACAGTTCCCGAGATCGGAGATACCCATGGTGGTCCTCGAATTTGAATCAGCCTGTATATTACTAATTTACAAAAGACCATCCCTCGAATTGAAGACATGGGGAAGAGAGATACAAATGTATATTTAGGTATAAACGGCTAAAAAATTTTAAAAAAATCAGTAGGTATACCGTAGGTCCCCGGATTGACTTTACAACAAGAAAAACTTACTATATTTTTTGACAAAAATGCATTCTCCATTAAAGCTTTTGATTGTTCTAATTCGAAATTTCCCTACCGTTTCAGAGAAAAATACAAAAAAAAAACGAAAATATGGTTGAACTTTTTCAAAGTCCTAAAAGTCAAAACGCCTCTCTACTGTAATAACATTTCGTTAGTTACAAAGTCTTCGTTACCTGTTATTTGAATAGGCACTAGGATCGTTATAAGTACCTATAACAAACACACTTCGTAATGACATTGAATAAAAACCTCTTTATTCAATGTAACAATGAAAAAGAATTGAATTTCCAAAGGTGTTTTCTTAGAAATGTCGGCGTTTTACCGTTAAGTGAAGGAATCGATAGTTTTACTGAGGGCCCTTCCAAACAGAAAGCCCCTGTCACCACTTGTGAACCAATTTTACGACTTTAATTTTGAAAGTCCCCCATGCCAATAATTACGCGATTTTTACTTCATATGTTATGTTACAAGCGGTTCATTATTCTCCTCAAGTTATGTGCGGTAGAGAGCTAATTATAATTTTGTTAATCTAGCAGTCTGTAAGGAGCCGTGAACGACCTTGCGTTTGTGTTTTGTATCTTCTTGTCCTGTGGTTATGCAAATCAAATTACATTTTTTTTAAAGCTCCCTCTGTGTTGTTTGGGGCCCACTTGTATAGAAAACTGCTGTAGTTACGCTATTCATTATTAGGTACCAGCACAGTCTAACGAAAAAAACTTTGTCCTTTACTATGGGTACTTCTCTTTTCAGGCAATCCCAGCCTTAACTTCCCAAGATAGCTGTATGCCATTCTTATTTGGCCACCAGATACTAACATCCCTTTGAATTGCAAATACAGTGATTGATGTGCGCGTTTTTTTAATGCATGGGATAAGATGCTCGCAGTCACCCCGCCTTGTTGTCATGTTGTGGCTAAGGACCTGCACAGGGTTGAATGGTGTTGTCTTGATGAGAACTCGTGCATCTCCAAGTCGAATCTTGCAGACTTGGAGGTATGGGGGAGAGACAACCTTAATAAAAGTAACCTAAGCCTAAGGAAGTAAGTCAGAGCCCTACTAATTTGCATCCCAGAGTCTTTCAGTGATCAGCTGAATTAAAATTATATACCTGCTATAGCTTCTGGAGAAGTTCGTAAATCCTCAATTCCAGCGACACATCTATCAATTAAAGGTGTTGTTTGACTCGGCACTGCCACACATATACATCGTAAACACCATGCTGCGGCGAGCCGAGCTGCTTGACATGGATGAATCAAAACGCCTACAGCGGCATTTATTAAATCTGAAAAATTAGTTTAAAATAAATCCATCGTACACAAACAAGGGCACCTACTGAGAGTGGGATCTGTTGTTAAATCGTACGCAGTAGTGCCTAAACTAAGAACTAAACTTCCAATTTCTTGTAAAGCACAAACTAAAAGGTGTTGGCTAAATAGTGTTTCCTGATTACAGTCTTTGGCATTTTCCGGGTTGAAATCAATAGAATTCATTTCCTTCACGATAATTTGTGCTATCTCCTTACACGCTAATAATTGTGCTTTCTCGCCTAACATTTTCCCTAATACACTCCTCAAGATAAAATTAACACATTTTCTAGAATAAACCGCGTCTACATGAGAGGATGCTGCCTTGGGGTTGGCGACTAAATACAAAACGTGAGATAAAAACGCTTTCATGTTTCTCTCCAGCCAAACTCCTCCCAAGATCTGAACGAACACCACGTACGCCTGCAACACCTCCTTATACCAACCAGAATTACACACTTATTGCCTACTGACATGGGTGACACCAACTCGTATTTCCCGATTCACCCCAGAACTGCCTTTAATAATTTCTCCGGTACCTTTCAGGAATCCTACCCCTCCTCTTAGAAAACCAGACATTAGTATACCCAAGGCTTCGTCTAAAGAAACTAATTTAACGTTCTTCAGTTGTTGCGCTGTAAGTAAACAATGGAATTTCGTTTCATACCAATTATTGATTACCCACCACTTTGGCCAGTCTTCTGATTTTGCTGAGTGGTCGCTATAAGAGTACCCAACAGTTTTGCAACGAAACAACGTACTTCGTAATTGGAACCGTCAAAAGCCCTAAAGCACAAGGTCGCAAAGTTTTCCAGTTCGGTCGTATACAAAAAAGGCGCATGGTTTAACATTTCCAGTATACACCGTGACGCAGCACAACGCACCGCCATTACCCTATCGATTAGGCAATGTCGCGCTGCCTTATATATTTCTTTGTGCACATTCGAGATTGCGTTACCCATACCCGCACATACCTACATCCCAAAATGGTAATAACACTAATCGCAGATGTGTATCTTACCTTTTCTAGTGTCAACATGATTTCAATACGAGTTTGAGATTCGCCACTTCGTAGACACCTGATGAGTATTTGAACGGTTTCTTCGTATGATCTTCCCATCATCCTGCCCAATTTCTCATACATAGATCCCACACAACAAATTGCAGCTCTGCAAGCAAAATTAGAAATTATTCGTTGATTCACTATTGCGCATTTTCCTAGATCAGGTGTGCATGAAATTCAATTATCGAGTATCAAAAGTAATACACTTGATCGTGTTCCCAATGAAACTCTACACAAATTCGAATCTCTTGGTCATATAAAATACATTAATATTGTCTAGTTCCTAGGAAGACTGCAGCAAAGAAAAATTCTTATAAGGCTTCTAAAATTTTCAAGATAATTTCCATGAAAATTTGAAAAATTCAGGTCCCACAAGCCAGCAGAGCCATTTTAGAAAAATGAAGGACGAAATACATCAGAATTATAGGCTGATTATAGGCCCTTTTTGGACACTTGAACAAATTTTCAGGCGGCATCCTTTAAAGAAAAAACTATGGCTCTGCTGGCTAAAGACGAAGCTAGCTGACCACTTGTGAGATTTGCTTCGAAGGCGAAAAATTCAGATAACAAAATTATAGGCTATTTATAGGCTTTTTTTAGACACTACAACAAATTTTCAGGCGGCATCCTTTAAACAAAAAAACTATGATTTTGCTGGCTAAAGAAGAAGCTAGCTGATCACATGTGCGATACGCTATGCGCATGCGCAAAATTTTTGCCTTGTAATTAATATCGATCCATTAACAGTGACTGTATAAAGACAGTGTGGTCATATGCTCTATATCCGCCATGTTTTTCCCATATTCTTCATTAAGCTGATTGGTTTAATTGAATTGGTAGATCTTGGCATTTTTCTATGGTTACAATATTATTGCCACAACTGTTTGTGACTTGATCACCTTGGATTCCAAGTGAATTTCCGCCAACCCGATTTATTTGGTTAAAATATGGCGGATATCCCACATACCAATAAAAAAACAACACCAAAGTATGACCAAACTGCCTCTATACAGTAGGTATACAGTCACTGTAGATCCATTATAAGTCACTAAATATAGAAAGTACCGCAATCCATTGGGCCCGTGTGTTAGAGAGAGAACGCATGTTTTTTGCCCAAAAATTGCGGAAGTTACCAGATTCTAGTAACTTTAATGTTAGGGATTGGTCCACCTGTTTGGAGACATCTGTCAAGTAGGTATTTGAAATTTGAATTTTCTTTTACTAATAAATCAAATATATAGCAAGTTGTTGTGTTTCAGGTTTTAAAAAAAGTAATGTTAAAAGTGTCTGAGTTGTCTATGCATCTTCTCTTGTATTATAGGAGAAGAAAAGTTGAAACGATATTCCTGAATTGGAAAGAAGTACAAAAAAAATTAAAATTATTCGTCTCATTATATTATTAACGAACCTCGAGATCGTTTATAATTTTGTATTGCTGCCTGCCTGTGCGTCTGTCTGTGTCTGTCTGTCAGTGTGTACGATAACTTTGTGTAGAAACGTCCGATCGCTTTAAAAATTGATATACACATGTTCTTCAGGATATAACAAAGTTCACAATTGTTTTTCGGCTACGTAGACCAACGGGCCAAATAGTTACAGACCAAAAACTGCGCAAACCTCCAAAAAGGGTTTCTAACTCTTGTTACAAAGAACATATGAATGTCCGGTTTTCTGTGTTAGTAAATATTCCTTAAACTTCAGGCAACTATGCAGATGCAAACAAATACTGCGCATGCGCATAACAACTTTTGTATTTGCGCAATCCTAATTTTTTATTTGTTAATATATTTAAATGAAATTCTGTATCTAGGCACCTCGAATAAAAGTGAAACTAATGCCAAATCAAAAAATTTGTTTTGCGCATGCGCAGTCGGTTTTCTTTTATTTGTTAAGGTATTTAAATGAAATGTTGTATTCAGGCACCTCAAATAAAAGTAAAACTAATGCAATTTCAAAAAATTTGTGTTACACGCTATGCTGATCAGGTGGGCAGAATCAACCCCTTAGGGCAGTGGTGCTCAAACGGTCGATCGCGACCGACCGGCCGATCTCGAGTACTTTTTGAGTCGATCTCGAGAAACATTGTGATTTTCAGAGCAGATCTACACCTACCTTGACTTAGGGAAAATGGATTTTGCGGAAAACTAAATTCTGCCGTTTCCACTAATTAACTAATTCTATGTACAGTATTTCTGCAAATTGCGCCACGATACGCCCTACCTATGTAGACAACAATCCTGCTTCACACATACTTGCATCCTCTCAGAGTCGATCTATCGGAGTCTAACAACATTCAGGTAGATCGTCAGCAGTTCAAGTGTGAGCACCCCTGCCTTAGGGTGTATTGTAAAAATGATGTATGTGTGAAGATCTCGAGGATTGTTTGGTATTCAGTTGTATCGGATTTTTGAAACATAAGTTAGAGTTTAAATAAATATATTAATTGGGCGAAAACCCGTTGAGGGCCCAGAACAAGAAAGGGACAATAAATAGACAATAAATAAATAATTTTTATTTATCCACTACATCTCCGAGAGGGGCAAAATCAAACTGATCTGGATGATAGTTTTTTTGTTTAAAGGATGCCGCCTGAAAATTTGTTGTAGTGTCTAAAAAAAGCCTATAAATAGCCTATAATTGTGTGATCTGAATTTTTCGCCTTCGAAGCAAATCTCACAAGTGGTCAGCTAGCTTCGTCTTTAGCCAGCAGAGCCATAGTTTTTTTCTTTAAAGGATGCCGCCTGAAAATTTGTTCAAGTGTCCAAAAAGGGCCCTATAATCAGCCTATAATTCTGATGTATTTCGTCCTTCATTTTTCTAAAATGGCTCTGCTGGCTTGTGGGACCTGAAAAATTCCTAACAAGATTTCAGAGAAGATTCTTCCAAGTTTTTCCAAAAGATTTCTAAAACATGTCTCTAATAAGGTTTTACAGAAATAGGTATCTAGTTTTTCTAAAGACGGACTGGACAACAGGATACCGGATGAAATTCCCGCCAGGAAAAGAGACTTATAAAATCTCTTAATAACTCAACTCTTAAGGGATAATAAAATCTTTAAGGCAGCTGTGCCCAAACCTTTTTTCCGTGTACAAGTCATGCGCAATGTGAATGAGCTGAAGACAAACTATCAGCAGAAGTATGGTGTATATCTCATTAATTAAAAACTAGCAGTTTCGGCGAACTTCGCATCGCCTTTGGGAAATCCACTTTTTTCCAGTACCCTGTTCCCGTGCACATTCTAAATGTCAAGTCTCTTTTCGACTGTAAAACATAAAATCCTGTTTTTCCTGTTCCCGTTGCCGTGGGAATTTCGGAAAGTGTTTTACTAACTCAAAAACTTTCGCGGGTGTACTTCCAACCATTGCCCAAACATTCATTTTTATTTATATAGATCCTGGCGAACCTCGTATATATGGGTACATTAGCATTGCCTAACATTAATAATATCCCTTGGCAAATAGTGCTTTCTGACAAAGTCGCCGCGCAATTGGAAGACTTTGGGAATCCCGAAGGACGTCTTGTGGCTGTAAACTGCAGTGATAAGACCTATGCTCTGCTATGGAGCAATTGGCCTAAAATCAGATCCACAACCATAGCACTTCTTTCTAAGATTTGACTCAAAGTAGTTTTTAAATGCAACGCCCTGTATATCTTAACGTCAATTTTTGGTATTCTTTTCCTGATTTCATTGTATAATTATATTTATTATATCATATTTCTCAAATTTTGGAAATGACATGTTTAATTTTCATGACATGGTATTGGCTACCTTAGTTACCATGGATACAATAAACAAAACAAAATCTCCTGAATCCATGGCCTACTGTTTAAAAACTGTAGAAAATAAGATTTATATTTTTGGTTGGTGTCTAAAATGAAAAACAAAATAGGTTGTGATACATCATTGTAATCAGGAAAAAGAATGCAAAGAAATTGATATTATGATATACAGGGTGTTGCATTTAAAAAATACCAACATTGGGTCAAATCTAAAAAACGGTGGCAAAAACCTTTTTTTGACCACGCCACTGGATTATAAGTCAAAATATCTAAAATAGGCAGTTTTTAGCGTCGCATCTCGTAAACAAACGCACGTAAAATGGTTCTGTTTGCGGTATTAAAAGTTTCATAAAAAAGTGGCACAGGGTCACGAAACCCAAGGAAGAACTGATTAAATTTTCCATGACCCAGGACTTTCTGTCTGTCCGTTCGTCTGTGTACAATGTAATTTATTTGTCCCTCTCTTGTTCTGGGCCCTCAACAGGCTTTCGCCAAATTACAGAGTGACCCGCATAATACCTTTTAGAGGTGCCCCTGCAGAAGGTCTTAAGTTGTTCTATACTACTCCTATTTACCTTACGAATTAGGAAAACTGCCGGAAAACCTAATTCGGAGTAGCCGGCAAAATGCTCGAAACTGATCTAAGGAAATTCCCATCTCTGCTACACATGAAAAATTCACCTCAGCCCAGGTTCGAACACCTGACCTCCCGGCTATGTAGCCCACTGAGCCACACAGACGGGTAATATTCTGTGTACATGATATATATTTGTTACAAGCTTATTTTATGTTTAGAATGTGAATGTATGTGTAAATGTCGATGACATAGTGAGTAAATTCGAAATAATTTAGAGCGCTTGTTATTTTAAACACAAGGAAAAGTAAGAACTATTAGTTGATGATAAAAGTGTTTATTTATTTGCATAAATCTTAGAGAATGCAAAGTCTATTGCTGACTGGATATTGCTAACTTCACAGAGGTATTACCTTCGAGTAAAGAAAGACAGACAAGGTCACCACAGACCAGACGAGATATACCACTCAAGGGAAATAGAAGAGACCAAAATCAGTCAGTTCTAATCCTGACCAATATTAAAAACGAAATTAGTATTCATATTTCTATACAACCAGGTGGATTTACCTGTCCTCCAGCTCTAGCACCTATCTTCAAAAGTTGCAGCAGTAAGAAAACTGTTTACAGAACAGATCAAAACAAGCGACAAAACACTATAATATACTTTTACTTTCATTCATTGTGCCAAAGTCTCAGTGCAAAGATCTGAACCCTAAGACGAATTAAACTTGTGCCGGTATAAGCTTATCGTTGCCTGTAGAAAAAATCATCGAAATGGGTTTTTACACTTGGAAAGAGGTACAATCTCGTATACTTACAATTTGGTAGGTAAAAAACTAGGCGAGTCGTCCTTGTTCTTTAATATCTCATTGCACTTATTGACAGTGTCGAATAGAAGGAATGTATCGCCAACAGAAAAAAGTGTAGCCAACGATCTGGCAATTAACTTCCTTGTGGGCGGTCCAGGTGACTCTTGAATGTGACTTGTTAATTGCTCCACTAATTTCTTTTGGCAACCCTTAATATCATTCTAAAAACAAAGTTTCAACGGAATACAGAAGTAAAAACACGCCTACCTTTTGAGCTGCAATTAATACTTTATCTAAAAATCGAAGCCATTCAAATACAAATACCGGCCTCTTTGCTGCTGGAACTTGTGCCAATGCTTCTTCGTTCAATGTTAGACTATGCGAAAGCTCCATTATGATCCAGTTTGTTGTGGAATGGTTCCTGCATATAAACAATATGAGTCAAATCGTTATTGCTGCTTTCATTCTGTACAGGCATTAGTTACGATTTGTTATTGTTCATATGGTAAGAAAGGTCCCAATTTTTCAAACATAACCAGCAGGCCTACAATACTGCTTGGATACTTTGGTGAAATGTGACGTAAAAGACAATACTGTTCAATGTTTGGGTCTAAATATATTCCTTCTGGTACCAAGTTTACCTACTTCGTGCAATACAGAATAGTCACAATGTGAAACATGTTAAATATGCCAATGTTAGTAGACGTGTTGAAATGCACTCAACATTACCCGAGATGTGTGACTATTGACAAGTTCAATTTTTACCTTGTGTGCTACCATTAGACAATTATCGGATGGCTAGAGAGTTTATTTATTTTGATTAAAGTTATATAATCCACCACTATGCAACATTTCAACAAAACTGTTCCCCACGAGTTGTCTTTGTAAGACAAAAGGGTGCATATTGAATACTTTTAAGTTAATTTTCTCTAAGTTGTATAGCAATGAAAGATGAGTAGTAATGATGAATGATGATGTTTATGTCTATGACGTTCCAGTAAAAACAAGTGGCAGTGACTGCAAGACTGAAGGAAACATGTAGGTACAGAACATAATATTAAAAATTGTAGAATGTCATAAATAAATTGTACCTGCACAGTTTACTCCTTGGGGTGCATTTATTCACAAAACACTCACAAAAGCAGTGTAATTCGGATTATTGGGTATTTATTATTTATTGTTTAAATTAGGGCACAAATTATACACCACAAAATTTATCCCACTCATTGATGGATGACAACTACGCATGCGTACGGTTTTTTTCATACTACGAATATATTACACTTGGCAAAATTTATACAAAACCTAATTACTGTGTGGATGGAGAATTCAGAACCGCAAGGTTCAAGGAATGAATAAACGATTAGACAATAGGTAGTTGATTAAAGGTCGCATTGTACCAAACTGTTTGAAATACATTGCAGTTGAACTAATAGCATTCAGAAATTCCAATGGTTAAAATTCAAAATCAAATAAGTACTTACATCAAATTCTGTCAGTCCAACCCTTCTTCTTCAGAGATGCCTCAGGGGTGGAATTAGTGGCTTTTTCTTATCCACATTGAGGTAACTTTGATAGTCTTTCATCGGGTCGAGGTAGCGCCAGTCCATATATGATGGGCAAATTTGTTCCTGTAGGATCATCTAGCTTTCTTCCTCCTATTCTGACGGCTAGAATTGCGTTTATTGTTTTATTTTTTTTCTCGGCAACTGTAAAAGAGGAAAAGATGGAGCTCTAACCCTAAACCAGGGTGCAAACGAAAACTTCAATCACGTTGTTACACATTGGCTTGAGCTCACCCTTTGTACTGGGAGTAAAAATGTTTAACAAATTACCCGAACAAATTAAATGCTGCAATACACTAAATAACTTTAATAAGAGATTACTTCTATACTTAAATAATCACTGTTTTTACAATATCAAAGAGTTCCTTGAACATGCTTAACTGTGATATTATTTGTCTGTCAGTAATTATGTGTATTTCACATATCCTATACCTACCACGGTCCATGGAATAAAAATATTATTATGGTCGGTGTATCTTGTGAGAACTCAGGTCTAGTAATCAAGTAACGATTAGTGTCTGTGTCTGTGTCTGGTGAAGTTATGTAGGGTCCTAAAAAAAATAAAAGAAATAAATAAATAAAATAAAAATTCACACCCTCACATTGGAAATCTAGAGATAGTATGTATTTCATACTTACCAACATAGCTATTGATGGGCACAATAGCCAACGCTATCAGGAAAGAGGAAAACAAATCAAACAAAAAAATCATTATAATAATTCCTGTAATTTTATTAAATGGAGTTTATTGTGTAAGTGTTTCTTTGGCTTTGCGTTTGGGTTGAATACGATCAGTGGGTTGTGATAACGTGGTGTGTTTCTGTGATTTTATTGGGTGGACCTGTCTTTGTGGTGCATGTTGCCTTACTTGTATTTATTGTGTTTCTTTGTTCTTGAGGTTGTATTTGTGTGGTTGCTTGGGTTATTGGTGGAGATATTGCAGTATTTTGTGAGCCTGTGGTGCTGTTAAGGTTTTTGCGCTTCGGTTGTATACGAGTGGGTTGTTTCGCTGAGAATTATTATTATTATTCAAAGAAGAAATGTAAATTTTGCGACTTTTAATTAATGGCGTAGCTCTTAATCGATGCGTTTTGAAACATCAATTTATTTGAAGAAAATATTTGTTTTGATCTCCCCTACTATAACCAATGGTTTGTTGACATACTGGAAGGCTTTTTTTAACAATGTAAAATACATGGGCCCGTCCAATTTGTAATAAACATACAACAATTGAAATTTGAGAGGTTTAGGTACTGCTTAGCTCGCATTTGGTGTTCAAAATTCTCACTGTAAATAAGATGTTCGCATAATATATTGTAAAAATAACGTCACAAAAACTTGTACAGCAAGCCCATCTACTCGTACCAATTTCAATGCTGAAAGTTGCTCTACATTTTGACCCTACCTAGGGGTTTCAATCATATTAAATGATTCCAAGTTGTCCTTAAGTTTGTGAATGCTTTCCGAATTTTTAAAAAAGTTCGCGAGTTCGGGTTTGTGTACAAAAATTTCCGGGTGCAAAATTAAGATCGCCGTTTCTCGCTCGCGTCCCCTCCACCCCAATTGTGCGCCATGTCGAGATAGGAAATGCTCGAACAAGATCAAAACAGAAATGCTCAAAAACTGTCTGGGTCGCCTCTGAGTTTGGTGTAATCTTTTGCACCCAGAAAACATATTGTCGTGACCATGAGTACCTTGTACACCCCCGTCCCCAGGTACAACGGAGCTTCTGATAATAATACCTGTGTACATTCCGATAATAAAGTAGAACAAATTTGCCTGCAATTTATAGTCTTTCGTGACATTTCGATCCCCCGCACGTCGTTAGTATTTTCGCTAAAGATAGTACATTCCGGGCAGAAATCGTTAACTAAACCGATTTTGAATGTTTAACGTGTCCGTAATTTCGCTCTGTATACGAAACAGATTATAGTGAATAGGTATATGCGAATTTTGTGTAAAGGTTCGTTGACTATTATGGTTTATGATTTATAAATAATGTAAATATCTAATAAAAAGGAGAACCGTTACACCGTGAGATAATAAGTTCGATGCTCCCGTTTAAATGAAATGTGTGCAAGACGAAGGGTTGCGTTGCGGTGGCGCCAAATCTTTTGAAACACCTGGTAACCGTTGAAAGAACTAAAAGTAAGATGGCGTAATGTGAGTTCACGACTGTGTGTATGTGCTTTAAAGTGCGGCAATATTAATGAAAAAGCAGCTGATATTAAATTACGATAATTCGTAGTACGACTTCCGTTGACATTTATAAAACTCGCATTGAATAATGTTCCTTGATAAAAAAATGTGGTTAGTGCCCTAATTAATGCCTAATAATGTGCGAATATAACAATAACAGTGGGAGAGCCGAAATGGCTGGAGGCGATATTGACTTAAATGCTCTTTTAGTACAAAAAGATTTGCATATTCGCGAACAGCACGACCAGATACTTAGGCTAAAACGAGAACTCGATGGGGTGGCCAGCGAAAGAGATCTTTTGTTGTGCGAAGTCAGCAATCTTCGTTTTGAATTGGAGATGGTCGAACTGAAACGTCTTCAGGATGAAAGGTAGGAAAAGAACAAATAAAATAAAGGACCCCATTTACGTTCATTCGTAATTTTAGTTCGGTGGGGTAAGAGAAATAAAAATAGTGCACATATTTGTAGAATACCAAAATCTTCGATAATCCAATAAAAAAGACGAGCCGAAGTGCTTGTGGCATTAATTAAATTAAAAGCATTTGATATGGCTTAATGTTGACTTCTTGTGCATCCAATGGTATCTATTAGACACCCGTTCATTTAATTAGTCTATTTTTAAATTAAATTAAAATCACGCTCTGCTAAGCGTATTTACTAACATCTGCTTATTCGATCAAGAGAGTTCACGAGAACTTGCGTAAATTAGCGTCGGTTAATTATTTCAAATTTTTACTCTTAACTTATTAGATTCCGGTTACCGTGAGATTCTTTTATATTATAATTTACCCACTTCCGGTTTCGCTGTACTCTCGATTAATTAATGAAAAATTGCAGGTTAAAAAACAAAACATTATTCGCAAAAATCGCCCTTGCGTATCGTACTTTCCACGTACATAACGTGAACAATACGATGTTGTCTTAAAGGGGGGGGGGGGGGGGTGAGTAACTACCCCAGATCTCGTGTGTTGTACTAGCGGTTAGTCATCCAAATTATTGTTTTCTAACTGTGATAAGCAAACTACGTTGAAGTTACCTTTATACAAACTGTAGCAGATAACGAAAATGGCATTTTCTCTGATTAGGACAGAAGTGAGGGGTGTCGATCGAAAATTGCTGATGGGGGGGGGGGGAGATTTTCAACAATATTTTTCATAGACCACGTTGGTGGTTTATAGCACATTTAAAATATATATCGTGTATGGCATGTATATACAGGGTAATGCATTGAAAAGCAACTTCAAAGACGAAGCAAACAAAAAATTGGTAATATGACTCTTCTACAGGGCGTGGTACGGGCATGTTTATCTGAGTGAGTAGCTTGACTCCGAGCTTGACTCACTCACATTTACTTGTTTCGCAAGATGGATAGGGATCCCAAAATTTCCATAGAATTTAGATGGTTATACATAGCAAACCAAATGGTAGACTCATCGATTTGAGTGTGTTTACGTCGTATTTTTTTGTCACGAAATCATCAACCAAAAGGGCTTTACAAAAAGCTTTAATCTAAGAGTAGGTAGGTAGTTAGTTCATGCCTAAAGTTCATCTTGCCATTTTTTTCCTTTTTTTATCGTGACGCTTCAAATTCCATTACTCGCACTTTTGTTATCCGATTGTAGGTATGTACTTTAATTCTTATTTCTGGTTTTGTTTTAGGTACTGTCTTTTTCTGTTGAGAAGTTAAACTGGTTGTACTGTACCGCTGACCGAATTTGTTGACAATAAAATCTTAGTGTGTATTATTTTTCTTAATGCGTGGGTGGTTTTTCGCTTCCTTATCTTGGGTATTATTCTAGTGGATCTTACCCAACTATACACATAGGCGTGTCGTACATAATAGTTTAGGGGTTGAGAGGCAGATTTTCGATTTGACACTAGTGCAGCCGAGCTGTCACGAAAAGGGTAAGTGGTGATACGATTCCGAACATGCGGACATTTATTGCGGCAATGCATTGCACACCCCCGAGTTCTTGGACTATACTTCAAATGTTGATATTGTCCTGTCGTTTTGTTACACCATTCTAATGTAAATTAAGCTGACCGCCCGAGGTTCAGCGATTACTTTGCTTTTAGTTAAAGGAATGTTAGTAGGTGTTCCACAATGCTCAATGCTGCTCTCGGTTCTTTCGATTCGATTTGTGGTAATCGGTTTTAGATAAGAGCAAAATTTGAATTCCTCCATCGACTTATACTTAATGTGGGTATAGAGAATTACGTTGTACATAGTTCTAGTCATGAATCATTTGCCCTCGTTGACCTATAGAAATAGAAATTAATGGAAATCAGTAGTACAATCGTTTACATTTATTATTTGGTCATTGCGCTACTGCACCTGATAAGATAATTGCCGATAGGAAGTACGCGCTTGTGCAAGTGCATTAACTTCTTCCTGTCAACCCAAATATCAAAAATGTTGATATGTACTTCAAGGGCCTTTCTGACTCTAGAGCTTTTACTT